CCCCAAAACCCCAAAACCCCATGATAAGTATGTGTTCAATTATGAAATATTTAAAGAATAAACATTTTTTAGCAGTCTATATTTTATTTTATAAAATCAAAATTTTACATTTCTTCAAACTTTCTTTAGCAACTTTTCTAAACTAATTCTGATGCATTTATTATACAACTCCAAAGGCTCAGGAAATAATATACTATATCTTTTAGCTGCCTTTTAAATTATATCTAACTACTAATAATTAAACATATTCGAGTCCATGTGCTTCACAATGTCTTTACCAAATTCTCTACTGACTAAAATCAAGTTATCTTCACTTTTAGGTTATCTTAGGTTTATATCTAAAATTGAGAGAATCAAATTAGGATCAAGATGATTATAATCTTTCTTAGACTCCACTAATCCTTTTAATCCAGATAGCAATATAAGATAATTCATATTTGATGTACTATTTTCTAATACTTAAGTGAATTCCTCATCAAATCTGAGTTTTATACTTTAAATAATTGCTTTCTCTAAAGTTTTATTGTCATACTCGTGATGATAAGTATGACTAAGTAAAAGAGAACTATTATTTACTCCAATTATCATAGCCTTCATATCATTTCTCCATTAAGCAGAAAGGTCTTAGTGATTGTATTTGACTACATTTATTATCATATTTAGGTAATCTATTTTATTTACATCGTGTAACTTTGATTCAAATTCATTGACGAGGATTGTGGTTACTTCTTAAGGTAGAATTCTGTCCTTTTTATCAAATTATTTGTAGTATTCTGGATTTAGAATTATATTATTTAGAGTAACAAACTGATCGACATGGATAATATCTTTGAAGTTCTTGTTGATGTAGTCAAATAAATCCATCTTAAGTTATGTATAGACATTTTCGCCAAGCTTTTTAGAGTGATTTGGAAGTAGTAAGAGCGTGCTTGCAAGTTATAGAGCTTTATCGATATCAGTGATTTGATAGTCATGGCTTAATTTTTCTAAAATAAGTTTTGTTTTGATTGGTGATCCTTATTGTTGCTTTGAATAACCCTACAATAAATCAATTAATTACTCATTTGAGAAGTCTGTTATATTTCTCATTAGCATCTTATCAAGCATTTTCTTCTGTCTATCTCTGATCCAAATTAATTTGGTCTTAATGTTTGGAGATCTATAATCTATTATTTTTTAATTGGTGGTATAATTCTTAAAAGCATCATCTCTATCAAGTTTGAAATAATCTTAGTATTTGCTCTCAGTTTGCTTCAGGATATTATCGAAATAAATGTGACTAAATTACCAAATCAGATTTGTTTTTTCCATAAAGTTAAAGAACTAGACTTGCTCAGGAATCGATGATTAATCGATGACTGACTAAACGATCCCCTTTAAGAAGAAGTTAGCTTCAAAGTACTATTCTTTAGCCAGCAGCATTATAAAGCTTTTCTAAATGTCTTCCTATGAATGCTTTTCTCTAACCATGTATTCAAAAACATTTTAGATCTTGCCTAGGTTCAATTTATCTGTACTGTTCATTTTCAAGTAATCTTCAAATTTCTATGCTAGTTCGCTTTTCAAGGCTTCTTCATGATTTTCTCCATGTTATTGTAAGTATTACTAGACCATTATTCTTTGAGCAGAGTTTTACTTTATTAGTCCAAAAGTACTATTTGCAGTCTTAAAATTTTTGTAGTCAAAACTTTTTTTGTGTGAATTGGCTTTGAGGAACGATGAAATTTCCTCCTTAGAGATAATTGATTTTAACTTAGAAAATATGTTTTTCATTTTATGGTTTTATAATATACTATAATCTGAGTTATCAAATTATCTTTTAGGGGTTTTGGGGTTTTGGGGTTTTGGGG